GCACGAAGGCCCCGCCCCCAGCAGGGCGGTCCCGCTCTGCCGAGGGCTGGGGGAGGGGCGGCCGGGCTCCGCTGAGGAGCGGGCCTCCCCCCGCGCCGCGAACCGCCCCCTGCCCCCGCGCCCTGCGGCTTGGGGCCGGTCGCGGGGCCGCGGCCTTTTCTCCTGGCCTGGCACGCACCGCGCACCTCCTGCCGTGGGTGTCTGCAGAGTGACGGAGCAGGAGCTGTGAGCAGCGTCGAGCTGGACGCCATCCTAACGAAGGGCAGAGCTTGGGGCTGTCCGTGGTGGTGCTTGTAGGGTCATACGCTGGCTTGTCTTTGTAACAAGGAACCACCGTATCCTTGCGTCAGGACAGCCTCTTGCTGTCCGTTTATATATGGAGTAACCTGATGCAACACACATCAGAGCAACCCAGTTAAAACTGCTGAATGATCTTACAGCTTCAGTGGGGATCACCATCCTGTTAAGAGCTTTTAAAATGAGGGATGTCTGAAAACTATGAACTGTGAGGTTGCTGGTAGAAGATGCAAAGCAGGAACAGACACGGCCCACAGCAATGCATGGAAGAACATGGAGGTTGCCTGATCTTGGAGGCTGTGAGGAACTATAGCCCTCTACAGTTAGAGCACCTCCCTGTAGGTCATGCAGACTTTCTGTCTGTGCTGCAGAGTTCTATGACTTTGGTGTTAATTCAGCCAAGAATGCCCGCATTTCCTTAAATCCTGTTGAGTTCATTGGCATGTGACAAAATCAAGAAAGCTGTTAAATCAGCTGTCAAGTATTGTTGATCATCTGCGTGTTTCAGTTCATTGTAAAAGAGATGTGTCTTGTTTTCTCACAGTGGATGTGTTTTGGGGTCAAAGTGGTCTCTTACTAGTGAGATTACTGCGACTTGGATCCCAGTTCAATACCCTAGGCATGATGTGCAACAACAGCAACCTATGCCCACTATATTTTGCTGTGGAAGCAGCTAAATAAAACATTTCGGTAGCAGGTGTCACACAATCCAAGTAAAATGAGAATTCTTCACCCATTTTTCTCTCTCTGATAGATCGCATATTTGTGTGGCTGAAACCTGACAGTCTAATGCGGTAGGGCCATCCATCTCATTAAGCCTGTGCCACATTCAACTGTTTGGTACCTGCACTCTGACATAGTTTTTCAGTCCAAATTGTATCTTTGTTCGTCATATAATAACTGAGGTGTCTCAAATCCCTTCTGCTTTTGCCCTCTATTTCTCAGAAAAATTAGTCTTAATAGTGATTCCTGTGTCTGACATACCTAAAAGAAAACAGATGCAAGGTATGGGAATGGTTGCATTCCTGTCCTTTACTAGGGAGAGGAAGTTGACTTTTCTAGCCGTTACACATACTTGTTTAGAAAGGCTTTGAGGAGCAAATACTGAAGTCTTCAACTAAAAAAAGATCTTAAATAGGAATTATGGCAATGTAATTTAAAAAGTAAAGTAAAAAACCTTTAAAGGTTTAAAATTCTGAACTGACTGTTTCCCAAAAGAGACAGAAAGAACATCTTACGGTGACATTCAGAGTCCTCAGGCAGCTGTGGTCCAATGAGTCATAGCTCCTTAAAGCCTCAGTGTTTTGAGAACATTGCAGCACACACACTTCTCAAATTACCAGGGATCTTAACTTGAAATACTGACCAGAGGTACTAATAGCAACTGGAACGCACCTTAGGCTAAACTCATGTCTCACTTATTTTCATTGTTCTCTGCATCACTAGATTTTCTTTATACATATTGCACATTGCTTAAAAACCTATGTGCATTCTGGAAACGTTGTTGTAAGTAAGTTTGAATTGTCTCCTGTAAATGCTTTCCAGTTATGATAAGCTCACCAGTATATCTACAGCTGGTTTCACTGAAACAAAATGCTGAGGAAGAGGCTGAATCATATTTGAGCATGAGTGTATGTATGAGTGTGTATATATTTACAAATTCTGAATTATGCTAGTACTTATACATCTAGAAGCAACTGCATTGAGAGTTAATTATTCTTACAACAGCATCAGCGCATCTCTTGATGTGTTTTTTTTCCAGAAATGTTCTAACGGTGTTTCAGCATCTTGCAGCACAAGCTGCAGAAGAAGGGGGAAAGTTTATGCTTCTTTTGGCTATTTCTCCTCCACAGACCTCACATACTACATAAATAGGATGAAATTTATCTTGTGTTACTGAGTCCTGCCCCAAGTCTCTCCAGCAGAGAGACAAATGCTGTCCAGAAAGATGAGATGGGAGGAGAAGCCTCAGGCCATAATCTGCCTGCTCCAGTCAGACTTACCCTTTGCTGCTCAAAAGCTCTAATGACACGGTGAAGATGGCCTCTTGTCCTTGCCAAGCCCTGAAGCAGTACTGGGGCTTATTAGAAGAGTAGGGTCTCAGTGTTTACAATTATTTCACTGGCCGTCTCCTCATCAAAAAGCTATGCAGAAATGGTAGCAGCAGTGCAGGGACTAAACAGACATTAATACACAAAGGGTTGGGAAATGCTCGAGATGAGGAGCTTACTTTCTAGAGAGGTCATGCTGCTTAACATTTGAACAGAAGGATCAAGATCATCTGGTTTGGTTTGCAGCTGGCTCAAAGATCAGACTCTTTGGAAACCCATCCTGAATGAGGTGAAAGGTGCTAAACTGTGGTCTGACGAGGGGTTTGTCAGTGCATGACTATGTCCAGGAGATGGATAGTGTGGACAGTCAGTAGCACTGTGATCTTCTGCACTAGGGCTATGCACCGTGTTACTCCTTCCCACCTGAAAGCAAGGGAATATGTCTTTTTAAACAAACATCTACATGAGGTGGAGCTTTAACTACTTCTTTCCCTAAGTCTTCATTTACATCCATTTTATTTATGTCAAAACCAGCTGCTGAGTGTAAGAAAGTGAAAACTTGGGCCAAGATTTTCAGAAGCAACTAGAAGCAGCTGTCTCTGTCAGTTCTGTACTGTCCAGCCTAACCCACTTGAAAGCAATGTGAATTTTAAAGGTAAGAATCATAGAGCTTTCAGAAGAGCAGGTCCTTCTGACACTGCCAAACTAATAACTTCTGAAGATTCTGGGACAACAGTGCTCAACTCCTGTGAATGCATTCCATTATTAATATATATTCTTACAGGAAAAGACCAAGTAACACATACTACATGATATAAGTATAATATAAACAGACACACAGAGTAAGGAAAACATAACAAGTTATTACCTTCCTGCATTTTCCTGTTTGTTATTCCCAGTTAAAACTACCAGGTGAGCTGTGCAGTTAATAGTAACTGTAAGCAACCACAGCAGTGTGTTAGCTAGGCCAGTATCACATCATGGGCTTGCAGCTTATATCTGATGTTTAAGAGAAAGAGAAGAGATGGAGGATAAGACAATGACATACATGCTATACAAAGGGAAATTTGGGGGTTTATTCTCTCCTCACCACAACATAGATCTCTCACATCTTTGCTTGGTGTCTTATGCTAACACAAAAAGAGGACCTGTATGTAGGTAAGATTGTTAGGCACAGAATTCCCAGCCAAGGGAGAGGAAATCCAAAACTATGTGAAAACTTGTTCCCTGTCTCCAGGAGGATATGTGTCCAAAGAAGAGCAATGAAACTCGTGAAGGGAGCTGTCTTATGAGGAGCAGCTGAGAGAACTGGGGTTGTTTAGCCCCAAGAAAAGTAGGCTGAGGGGAGACCTTATTGCACTCTACAACTACCTGAAAGGATGTTGTAGTGAGGTGGGTGTCGGTCTCTTCTCCCAAGTAGCAATTGATAGGACAAAAGGAAATGGCCTCAAGTTGCACCAGGGGAGGGTTAGATTG